TTATTGCTGAAATTCTCTTGCATTTCATTTTGCAAAGAGGTCTGATTTCTATTTCAAATGTTGAGTTTGAATTGAGACAGAGATAGGTTCAGATTGTTCTTACATCTTTTGCTTGTCATGTTCTCACTCCGGCAAGTAGATCTTTTGAGACATATCTGATAGCAAATGAATTATTGAATGAATTTATGTATAAATCCTTTATTTATAAGTAGAGGAACTTCTGTTCCTGTTTACTTTCTGCTGCAGCTGTACTCCCTGGTAAGAAGAGCAGAGACAAGTGAGATAAAATGAAAGGTTATTGTCGTAGAGAGCTTTTTTATATGCTCAGAAACCTTTCTCCTACTCTACTGTTGGTGCTGTTTGGTGTTTACAGCAGTGAACACTCTTTCTGTTACTGTTTGATCTGCAGCTCTAATTAGTTAATACTTTTAAGCTTACTTAATGATTTACTAGTATTAAATATTCTTTTATTGATTGCCTGAGAAGTTGGTTTTAGCTTGAGAAGCTGCAGTACACGTGAAGCACATGGGTAATGGAAGAAGAGATAATTTATTTCATTTAAAATACTTGTTGAAATATTGTTATGATGATGAAGGTGTGGAGGCTTTACTAAAAAATGACCAATATTGTGAGTCCTGTGCCAAATTACCAGTGTTATTTTAACACATTCAGCATTCTAGTTTCTTACAGACATCAGCTTTGTTAACTTTAGAATACTGTTTTCTCTCTGTTTCTCGTAAATGTTGTGAGACAGTGATGGTCCCCTGAAGTACAGAAAAGTCATGTTGGTTAAAAAAAAAATAAATTTAAATCTCTATTAAATAGTTTGCTTTGATATAATTTGAATATGAAATTTAACAGTATCAATGACAGGATTTATGTCAATATTCTGATATTTCATTTAGGATGTTTTTCTGATTATGTGGAGTCATAGCACTTGGAGAGAGACATGAGGAAAAATTGTGTTTGTGTCTACTTAATTTCTAGGTGGTCTTAATTATTTTTATTGAATTTGGAAGTTTATATGTCTAAATGAACATTAATTCCATTTTTCTCTTTTAGGGGAACGGCCATTTCAGTGTACGCTATGTGAAAAGGCTTTTAACCAGAAGAGTGCTCTTCAAGTTCACATGAAAAAGCACACGGGAGAAAGGCCTTATAAGTGTGATTACTGTGCAATGGGATTTACACAGAAAAGCAATATGAAACTACATATGAAACGGGCTCATGGTTACACTGGTATGTAGCGCAGTGTTAGCAGTGACAAGTACAGGAAGCTGCATGGTTTATTAGGAGATCAGAAAATGTTTATCCTAAGTCACTGAGGAATTAGACATCAATAAGCTGAAGAGTTGGTGAGCTAATAGTTGAACACGACCCAAATAACACTTTGAAACAAATGGGTTACTGCTTATGGCTCCGTAGTTGTGATGGAGCCCTCTATTGCTAAAATAGAAAGTTCAAAACCTAGTATAGGGGAATAATTAATTATATTTGTCTGTTGTGGGTAGCTTTTCCCATAGTGTTTTTTCTTTTAAGTAGCATCTGTAGAATCTGTGATATTTGTATGATGCCTCTATGAAGTAGTTGCATAATAGATTTTTTGATTCACAAGTAATAATTCTCAGCATATTTCCATTTGTCTTACACTACCCATCCAATCATACTCATTTTCTTTTTTTCTTGTAGGTCCTGTACAAGAACCTGCTAGTAATCAAGAACAAGAAGGGGAAGATATTAGTCGTGCTCTGAATTTAGAAGAAGTGGTACAAGAATCATCAAATGAATGGCAAAATATAGGCAGTGTTTTTCGATGACACCTTGATGTCTGAAAGCTGACTTTTTTTTTTGGGACTTGAGTTTCTCTAAAGAAGTTTTCAGAGAAGGAAAAAGTTGGATTTTACAGTTGAAACTTCAAGCATTGGAAATATTAACAATAAGATAATATATTATAAGATTTTTTTAATTATTTGCTAAAATTACCTAAAGAATCAATGTCCTTTTTTTAAGCTTGTAAAAAAATATTGTGAAATCATCACTTAATCTGTGCTAAGTTGTCTGTGAATGAATGAACTCAGGTAATACTGTATACAGTTTCATCTTCTAATTCACAGCCAGTATATCTATTTGAAAAATGAACTGGAACTTCATACTAGAGTAGAATTTTTAAAGGAGGGGAATAATAACTTCATGGGAAAACCATGAAGCTGTTAGCTTTCTTTTTTTTTTTTTCTTTTTACCTATTTAAAGAAATAATTGAGTTTGGAAACAAAATGTTACAAGTAGATGCATGCAGTAAAAAGTAGTTCTTTTCTTTTTACAAGTCACATGAAAAGGCTCTTTTTTTTTTTTTTTAAGTTAGTGCATTTTCAGAATGTTGAAATAAATTGCCATGAATGTATGGCTTTTCTTGTGTTAAGCTCTTGAGAGAGAGCGTGTTCATTTCCATTCCAACCACAGAGGCAGGTGGTTGTTTCTACATAAAAGTGCTTGAGGTTTTAAACTCAGCAGTTACTATTTAAAGAGAATTCAAATCAGGAAGGGTTACAAGGAAGGCCTCTTTTATGTTAGCTGTATCGAATTAGTAGGTATGTATCCCAGTGTCTGTGAAAGGCACAGCCATATGCTAAATTTGGGAAGTCAACGTACAGTTTTATGTTAGCAGTCAGAAAGTGAGATGCACGCTAGGTCACCTAGATTATACTAAATCACTCAGTGCTGTAAACAGTTACTTTAAATCTGTAAATTACTCATTGTTTTCTTTGTGGATTTCGGAAATATATTACTTTTATTTGTTGTTTAAGTCATTGTTTCATCAAAACTACCTAGATGACTAAAGCAGTGCTTTGAAAGGTGCCACTTAAATCTATTCGTAGCAAAGAAACACTGGAGTAAAGACATAGTCATCTTTTAGACATTCCAAAGACAAGCTCTTTTCTTATTTTTACCTTGTTCTTTTGAATTTTATTTATATGTTACATATATATATAGATATATATGTGTGCTTGTGTGTATATATATATGTATATTTAAAGTTATATGAGCCTCTGTGTGGCTGATCAGTATATTTTGTAAATACTAATCCTGGTTGCAGGAAGTTCATCTTTTCGGTTTGCTGCAAGTACTCCTAGATCAGTAGTGGTTTCATTGTACTATAATACAGAGCTGAATTTTAATTTACTTTCTGAAAGATGATTGCTCTCAGATCCAAAAAGCTCTCTTTTGTAAATATTGTCTATACTTTGTCTATGATACCAACTAGTTATTTCAGATTGCTGAAGCAAGAAATTACTGTTTTTTCGATAGGGCATCTCTTAATTCTTTTGTTAATTCTTTTGGCATATGTATATAAGTAATATAGTTGTTGACATGAAAATAACACTTTTGTTATGTGGAATATTTAATTCAAAAACATGTTAAATAATATTACTCTTTTCCTAATCCCGTTTTGTGTATTTTTTAAATTTCATCCTGAATTCTAGGAAACTAAAAGCAGTTTAACAGAAGCACACCTCTGTTTTATTTAAAGAGCGTATATGAAGATCTCCCAGCAGTGCCTTCCCTTCCAGATAGCAGTAGTGTTTCAGCTATACAAAAAAGATATCTTTTACAGTTGCTCTCTGAAGGCATGCTGACCCCCTTGCATAGCATGCTTCTTATGCATAATTGCATAGGATTAGAAGCTGTGTAATCCTGAATCAGTTCTGATGGGCTGTATGGTATGTAGCATGTATAAAACCATTTTGCTACACTTTCAGAGAATAGCTAGTAAATGCACAGCAAAGTTGATTGGAGATGGTTTGTTGCATAGGTGATGACAGAAGATGATTTTACAACTGGTCACAGTTCCATACTTCCTAATGACAGTGTGATTGCTGACTGCTTGGGGGGTATTCATCCTGTTCTGGCTGTGATTCTTTTGCCAGCAATTAACAAATGGTGGTGACTGACACTAAGAGAGCGTGTACTAAAAACAGACTATGTCATGTATAAAGGGGTGCAGTTTTAAAGTGGTCACTTCTCAAAGTGTTTTGTCTTGATTAGAGGCAGTGAGTGTGTGTTCCAAATCCTGGAAGAGACAAACAGACAACATGAGCCGTGTAATCCCCTGACACTTTTCTTCAATGCAGTCTGCTTCTCCTTTAGTATTTGCACTCCTGTCAGTTAGAGTAAACAGACTTTCTAAAACCTGTTTTGTAACGTGGTATTTTATTTGCTTCCCTCTGCACCACCCCACCTTCTTGTTGGTGAACTTCAGGAATCCATTTTCAAGTATCTTCATACAGAGATTTTCATTGTTGAGGCTACTCAGTGAGAATGAATTGAAAGTGTTCCGAGCAGATGTTCAGTATTGATGAGACAGTGGAACAAATACATTAGTAATGCTTTAGAAAACATTGAGTTAGATGCATCTTGCTTAGGAAGCAGAACTCTTATCCAAGGACTCTGTTGAAGAATCAGATTGCATTGTGCGTAAGGGAACAGGGCATAGGAGTGCCTCAGTTCTTTCTGGGTTGTTGCAGTAGTAGGTTTGTGCTTGCCCAAGGATTCTCTTTGGTTTTATGTCCCCGCCTTCAGTACAAGAAATAATAAACATCTGGTGTTGGTCCTCCGTTCTCTTTTTTTTTTTTTAACAAGTCATACAGCCATTTATTGTGCTGTTTGGTTTTGTTTTCATCAAAACTGCTGAAAAATTAAGACTAGATTTCAGTCTTAGTCTTTCCCTCAAGACTTATGTTGGAAAAAATGTTGTATTAAATTACCGTACCTTTTCTCCTATATGAAGTAAATTTTAAAGAAGCCATTTCCAGCCTTGGGAAAGGTTACTGGGGGAAAAGGAGTGTAATGAAGTGGAGGAAGCAGCTTTAGATTACTTTTTACCTTAAATGTTCTTTTCTACTTGTGTAGAGCTCTTTAAAAATCAAATGGTGTATTACTACTGTGATCAGGAAGATACTGTTTGCTATTCTTATTTACAAAAGCAGAATTCCATAGGGTTGTTTTTTGTTTTACTGGCAATGTCCCCCTGGGTGTCCCATGAATCCTGTGTCATAGCATCAGCCTTGTGGGCCGTGCTCAGGCACCATCAATGTCACAAGAAGCCTATGAAAGTGCAACTAAGGCATTTTCCAGTATCTTCAGCACTGAATAAATAGCAGGAGGAAAAAAGGAGCATTTTTTTGTACACGGCCTATGTTACAAAAGACAAAACCGGTTCAGGTTTCATTACACATCGATTACTTTATTTTGATAAATTTTAAAAGCTTTGTTCCTATAAGAACAATATGTCTTCAAATTAAATCCACTATTATGTTGCTGAGTATAAATCTGAATGAAGCTACAATAGAAAAATACACATAGCAAACAACATGGGTAACAGAAGATGTAATACGTGTATATAATTTTGGTGGTTTTGTTTTCCTTAGTCTCTATTTTCTATTCTCCATCTTCCCTTGCTTTGTATTAATGGACACTGAATATAAACCTACAGTAGATTTAGATATGAGTTAACACACGTGTGTATAGGTAACTTCTACTGGACACAGATGCAGTTTCAACTTGGGAAGCGTTAACCTCAGTCTACAACACGGGCTAAAACTAAAAAAGAAAGTAAGTAATCAGACATTTAGAGAAGAGCTTGAAGGAATGGTGAGTTTAAGTAATAAAACAGTGCAATTCAGAAGAGCCTTGTATTCTCTACGTGTGGTTGGAAATACCATTGCCACACACTCATTTTAGTTATCTGTGAACAATTAATACCTAAATCTAACTCTGTTATAACTCATTTCTATGAGGCAACTACAGTACAACAGTTAAATGTTCACAGTAGTTTACTATGAGTTTGCTTTGGTGCGCTGCCCTTAACAGGCATTCAGGTGTTACTCAGTCAAAAGAAGAGCCAACCAAATACAATGCTGCTGCAATACCAAGAGCAAGGTTTAAAGTTCTCTCATGAGATGTGCAGGACTATCTGAGACACCAGTACTGAAGGGCTCTCTTTCAGAAATTAGACTTATTCACGTATATATATAATTACTTACTTTGCTGCAAAGTTTATGCTGTTGCAGCAGTTTGTGTGGAGCAACAGTGACGTCCAGTGGTCACATGTGCGATCTGATGTTTCATTGCTGGGAATATCCCTTGTTTCTTAGCATTAGTCTAACTCAAATTTGAAATCCTCTTTCTCTCCCTCATCTACTCTTAATTCTAATGGTTTGGATGCGCTGAGCAATTTGTGGTGCGGAAAGCGTTTCCTTATTGCCATTGCTCTGCATCGTATTGATTCTACTACATCTGCCCCCTCCCACATTTCACATACCTTGAACTCGCAATGTTTGGTGAACCTTTCTGTGACTGCCTAATCCTGTTATGAAAATAAATTATTCTGTGAGTGAGAGAAGGAAGATTAAAACAGAAACCAAACCAAAGTCCCAAATCAAAAAAAAAAAAAAAAAAGATTTGGATAAACAGTCCTTACAACTTCTGCACACGATGGATTTTGTGTTTGTTTTTACAGCAGCGTTTCAAAAGCTCATTAATGGCAGTGCTCAGTATCCAAGACATTAAATCTTTATTTGCGATTCTGACCTTCACTAAAATGAAAGCAGAAGGCTGGAGTTCAGATTAGGAGCCTGGGAGAAATAATGAAGTCCAGCATACAGTTAGGGCACCCTGAAGGAGAATGAGTAGTCATACGTCTTGTTACTCTATGTGAAATAGGGAGAACAGCTAGTAAAGCTACTTTATTTGTTCCTTTCATTCAACTGTTGGTCAGGGATTGCCAATAGAAGTTTGTATCATCTACTGCATGCAGAACCTAATTGGCACTAAGTAATGGACTGCATCTAGCTAGGTAATTCTTGCAGTTGTTATTAATTTTAAGGCAGTTAGATTATGAAGCAGAGTGCGTGATCCTTGAATGGCATCGTAGAGCTTCAGCGCCTCGCAACTGGTGAGCCAGACCGTGATCCAGGCCGGGAGCCAGAGCCTCCCTGGGGAAGGAGGAATGGAGTTAATTAACAACAAGGCACTGTGTGCGTAGGGCTACATGTTGGACAAATATCAGTCTAACCCAAAACCTTGCGTATCTAAATGAAAGTGACTCTGGTATATTGCAAAGTCTTATTTGAATTTTTACATGAACTAATTGCTTCTCATATACTTTCACATAGGATTAATTTATTCTCATTATATTTCTTATACATAGCTAGGCATGTGTTAGTTGTACATGCATGTTCTTATTCAGGTCTTCCTTATGAAAGTGATGTGTTTGTGCATCCAAAAAAAAAAAAAGTAGCTCTCATTGATTATATTTGTAACAATTCATACATTTGAGAAAAGCTCTGTGGCTTTTATAGCAAAGGGAATCCAAGCTGAAGGCTTGGAATTTCTTAATTCTTTTACTTGTTTATTTTGATTTGAGATTTGGCTGATTTCTTTTCCCACAAAACGCGCTTTTCATGTGTCTTTTTCCTTACACTGAAGGTTAAAAAGGCCTGGCCTATGTTCTGCTGAGATGCTCTGGACTTGCACCAGGCAGAGACTTGCATGATGAGAAACTTTCTTTTGGAGATTTACACAGGTGAGAGCCAGGCTCAACTCTGAGTGTTTGTTTTGATTCTTAAAGCAGGCAATGGATTGGAGCCCTTCTGAAATACTTGAAATGGGAATGATTTGTAAGTGGGTGTTTCAGGATAATTGAAGTATTTAACTTTTATTTCTAAAGATTCCATTTGTAAAACTGAAATATTCTGCATTTTCAGTCGTCTTTTTTTGTCAAAAACAAACTAAAGAAACCATTTACCTGAAGCCTAACCTCTTGTCAAATGGTTTACCTATTTACGAGGTGATTTTATAAGGCAGATTTCTTTGTGAATGCCTACTTCCTTCCAAAGCTTTATGGAAACATAGCAGCTCCTGGAGAGGTTGGGCTGCACTCAGCTTTTCCCTGGGCTCAACTGTTTGCACTTACGGTAAGTTCAATTGTACTTTACCAGTTTAAAGATTTTGGAAAGAGTGCCCTGGCCCTCGTGATAGGATCCCTTATGTCCCTTGTGAGCAGATTTGTGCTCATAGAATTTTCCACTTCCGTATCCCGGCTTGTGTCCTTCACCACCCTGCAATGAAAGAGTTTGGTGTATGTTTCAAATCAACATTGACATTAAGTGCATGTTCACATGGTAATCTTTCTTTGTCATCGCTGAAATATAGAGAATCTTAAAGGAGTTGCAATAAAATGATCTTTAAAGTAATAAGCCAGGGTGAGGGCAAGCATTAGGAGGTTTTCTCAGTGTGCTGATGCCTGAGGGAGACAATCTGTAAAAGAACAACTAATAATCAAAAGCGGATGCTCAGAGCGTTAACCTGCATGACAAAACTTAAAAAATAAATTCAATTCACAAGTTCTGAGGTGATTATGCATGAAGTTAAGTTGGTGTTTCTGTTGGCCGTGAAAGAAATGTGTAACAGCTTGAAGGCTGTAGTATTTTTTAGCTTAAAATGCACGCGTTCTTCTCGTTGTAGAACCAAACCTGCAGCAGAGAAGTAGGATTTAATTAGCTGTGATAACAAGAGGAGGAACTTGCCTAACTTGGGCTGATCTCTTCACGCTGGAAGAGATGGCAAGGAAAGGTGAGACCAAATACTTGAATTAGTGGCGGTGTTAGTTCTATAGGGCTGACTGGGGACACGTCCCCACCTGGACACCGCCTGCCCTCTCATCCTTGTTCTTCCCATGAGAAGAAACCTGCAGCAGTGGGTCTCCCAGGAGGTTTAAAGGGTGACAGCTTTGTCATGCAGTGGATTTTGTTCCCTTCATGCTGAAGCAAAAGAAATGTTTGTTGCGAGGCTGTCAGTGTGCTGGATAAGAGCGAGCGACTCGATTACCATCTTAAAGTGCTGTGGGAGGAGGGAGGAAAGTAGAACAGGAAAAGCAAAATAGCAAAACTGAGACAAAACAAAATTATCGCATTGCTGCAGCAGCTTGAGGCAGTGGAGCAAGATATGCTTTGGCCTGGTAAATAAAATGGCTGTTTCTGAAAGCACATTCATCACCTACCCAGCTAAATCTGGTGAGGGACAGTCCTCTTCCCTGCACATGGAAGAAACAGAAACAATGACACAATGGTCACTAGAGAACATTGGATCAGAAGGTGTTGAGAATGTAGTGAAAAACAATGACAAATTGGCCAGATAATGAAGCATCAGTCATTTCATAAAATGAAAAAGGTGAAGTTCTCAGTCAGAATCACAAGAGCCTCCATCACTCGCCATCGTTCATCAGTCATGGGCTGTGGGAGTTGTAAGCTTATCAGTGTGAAAACAGTCCCTGGAGTTTGAGGCTTGGCTGACAGCTGTACCTATTGTTAGTATGCTGTGTGAAGCACCCACAACAAAATTTAGATATAAAAGACCCCAACATTTGGCTTTAATTTAGGTGTCATGCAGCAAATCAGAAAATGCATGAGGAGAGAAAAACCATGGCTTTTTTGTCTTGGTCCCTGACTTGGCAAACTCTTGATTTCTATTTATCATGATTAAAGAAAACAAATGGACTGGTAGTTGAAGTGGTATAAACGAGCCCCAAAGACTCATGGGCACTGCCTGAGCCATGCCCAGCTCTTACCTTCGCTTGCATTGGAGGAGGAGTACGGGGTGAGACCTGAAAAACAACCAAAAAAAGTTATAAAGCCAAAGGAACAGTGAATGGAGATAATCATCAAGCAAATTCAGAGAATAATAGAATGGTTTGAGTTGGAAGAAACCTTCAAAGGTCACTTAGTCCAACTCCCCTGCAATGAGCAGGAGCACCCACAGCTCCATCAGTTGCTCAAAACCCTGTGCATCATGACCTTGAGTGTCTCCAGGAAACTTTGAATGTCTCCAGGAGTTATTAGGCCTTATAGATTAGTTGTTAATTTTGTTTTTATTGCCATGTGAGCATTTTTTAATCTCTTTTTAAACAAATACACTGGTTGACAAAGACAGCAGCACAGACCTTGTAAATGGTGAAGCTGCATAATTACAACAACTGCTTTACAGTTTACAATGTGTCTGTGCTAATTGAGGGTTCACCCACTTTGGTGTAACACTTTAGCATAGTTCTTGTTTTCGGGTAAAATTACACTGAATTTGCATGGCTAGCTCAAAAGTGTAGAAGAATTCGTTAGTAAAGGGTAACAACTGTGGGATATTTGATTATAGGTGGATCTGAAGTAGAGTCGTAGTGCGTAATGAGAAGAAGTGGAACTTACAATGTTCTTGAAGAAGTGGACTACAGGGTTGTCATCACCAGGCCGGCCGTGCTGAGATCTCTGGGGGATGGAGCCTACATGGCTGGCCCTGGCTGCGTGTATATCCTGCAACAACAGCAGAGTCTGGTCAGCAGGGAGAAAGGAGACCAGCAGCTGTTGGGAAAGGCTCACTTTGTGGGAGGGAAAGGAGAGAGGAATACCTTGAAAATCTGTAGGGATCGAGTCAGAAAGTTATCAGTGCTGCAAAGGAACAATTTTTTGATACAGTGGCAAAGATGCTATTGTGTTAAATGCATACATATGTTGCGCACATGTATTTGTATAATGGTGTGCGTGTTTGTAACAGCATTACAGGTCGGCGTGGAACTAAATCTGGGACAATTCTGATAGCAGAAACTTTACAGTTTTTGCTTCCTTTGAAGTTGGAACATAGGATGCAATTTTAGAGATAAAGCCTGAAAAAACTTAAGCTGGATCATTCTCCATGGGAGTGCAGGAATGGATTGTATCTGATTTTTCCCATTGTCGTAGATTGCATAGCACCAATGAACTGCAAGAGCAACTGTGTTTTGGAGTGAAGTAATGAAATGAGACTGACAATATTTCTATTTTCAGTAGTGTTCCTGTAGCAGTGCAGAAAAGTGCACTCACTGAGGACAAAAGGACAGAAATTAAGACATTGTACAGAGTGAATACTGAGAGCACAATGCAGCTGTTGCAGTAAAAATAATGTCAAAAAAAAATCATGTAGCTTTTTCTCAATGGATGCAGCAGGACGAAGTTTAGAAAAAAGAATCTGTACCTATGAGTGACCCAAATGACAAATGTCTGTCCATCATTGTCAATGTCAAGGTACAGTGCTTCTCTCCCAGCACAACAGATCCCAGCTGTGTGCAACATGGAAGGCAGGAGAGAATGGAAATAACAGTGGCATCTCTTACAAGTACCACGTGGGTGATACAGATTTCATTGGCTTCTAAACAGAAATAGAAATCTGTAGTGAGAAAACATAAGCTCTTCCAAACAGAATGAATATTTGACTCTGGAACAGTATGGGCAGTTACTTAGAATATACTTTGCTTTTGTCACATAGAAGAACATGGCTCAACTTGCTACAGAAGGACTTGGTTGTGTTGTTGCAGTGGGACTCCTGGGCTCATGAGCAGTGTTGCAATGAGGAGGAGAACACCAAGACGTGCTCAGAGCAAGTTACCTCTGCCATGTTGTCTTTTAAGTTTGTATTTAAAGAGAACATTGATATATGTTTATCATAAACACCCTGATCGTGTTCTTTTACACTTCTCCTTCAGCAGTGTTGCAGATCACAATGTCTTAACAGCAGGTTGCTGTCAATCTACATGAAGCCCAATGGAATACATGATGAGCAGATGTATCTTGCCGTTCTGCAGTGGGCTACTGATTGCTACCAGGCACAAAAAGGTGGGAACAATTCTGTTTTACAATGTAGTGGAGTCTGAGTTTCTTGATTTTAGCATTCTGGTCCATCATGAAGCACTAATAATTTATCTCACTGAAAAATGTTACCATGTAGTGACTACAAAATTTTTTGGATCTGCGGTGCCAAGTCTTTGCTTGGGTCCTCTTTATAGTGAATCAGCAGTAGCAAATCCAAACCTATTTTTAAGGATAAGGATGGTTCTGTATGAATTTACAACAGTGTTTCCCACTGTTACAAATCATGAGCTTTTCTTTCATATGATCAGAAGTTTTATGTGTGGACAGCATCTTCGAGTATTCAAAGTCTAAATTACATGTTTCCCTTTTGTGTATAAGCTGTTGGATTCTCTCTTCCACATCAAGTGTGTCCTTTCAATTTTTGGAGACCTAAAGGGGAGAAGGAAAAGCTCAGTGGTTTTTATTTTCCTGAGATTGCACACATCCATGATCTACAAAAGGCATTTCCCTCAGAAGAGCAATAATTGATACCTGTAGGTGTTAAAAATTAAATTTGAGTGTGTTCAGGTAGTTGCAGTGTTTTCCTGACTTTCAGCTTTTAGAGTGTTGCCAATGGAAAGCAAACTTGGCTATAGATTATGAAACACACTTGCAAAGGATAGTCCTGAATTTAGTGTCATAGAATCCTTAGAGTTGGAAGGGACCTCTGAAGGTCATCTAGTCCAACTCCCTTGTAATGAAACAGGGGAGTTGGACACCACAGCTAGATCAGGTTGTTCAGGGCCTGATCCAGCTTTGCCTTGAAAGTCTCCAGGGATGGGCATCAACTGCAGCACTAGGCAGTGTGTTCCAGTGCCTCACCACCCTCACTGTAGAAGACTTTTTCCTCATATGCAACCTAAATCTACCCTCCCTGAGCTTGAAACCATTTCCCCTTGTTCTATCATTATAGACCCTGCTAAAGAGTCTATCTCCTCCTTTCCCAGAAAAAGATTTAGGCATCTTGGGTTCTGTTTACAAACACTGAAACAATGGTTCCTCTGTACCAGTGCAACTTGTAGAAAACAGCAATTGGCAGAAACCAGTCGAAACAGAGAGGAGTGCTCATCTTTCCATCACTCTCTGTTAACTTTATGCTTGACAGCTAAGCCAGCTTGGCTATACATGTGCCAAGAAAAAAAAAAGCCACGGGGGAAAGATTCCTCAATAATGTTAATAGGCAATTTTGGCCGATGCTGGGTATTCGCTTAGGCTGTGTGTGGGAGATCTGATGACAAAGACATAGTTTGCAAATCCATTGTGAAATTAAGTTTAAGGATTATTAATGTAAATATGGACATGTGTATATTTGTCAAATACTCCAGGTTATTCTGTATTTGGGGCTGATTCGGTATGGGAGTGCTTTGTGGCTCTTCCTTGTAGTTACTGGGAAGTCGCGTTATTTCCCTGTGCCAATGTGTTATATGTGAGTTGGCCACTAAGATACTACAGTGACTTTCAGTACAGTGCAAAGAAAAGCAGCATGCACAGTAGCTGTATGTGGACATTCCATTCCCTGTGTCACTCCACTGTATTGAAAACCCTGACAGAGCTGTTGGTGTGTGTGCTGATTGCCATCTCTCTCACGCAGTCACAAGAATCTACGTGCAGTTCAGCACGTGTTCCACTCTGGCTTTTTCTGCAAGAGTATTACATCTCTGATTGTGATGAATATCCCTGAATAAACGCTCACTTTTCTGACACAGTAGCCCTGACCAATTTTCCTGATGTTCTCTGTGGCACTTTGTAATTGCTGAGTGGTGTTAATGCCTGCAGTCTGACTCTGTAGGAGGTGAGAGGGAAGAGGTCTTGGGGTGTTTGGTAAATGGAGTTAGAGGCCTTTTGCTTCAAACATTTGAATACTGAGTTTGTTAATTCTGTTTTGTGATACATTCATCTAACTTGAGAGCAGTGAGATTTGGGAGATTAGATTCACTTTCATTTAAAGCAAGTGCAGATAAGTACTCTGAGTATTCCACTTGATTTTGCCTTCAGATATGATGGTGAGTGTAAAAACGTGGCTGAACAATGGCAGCATTTAGTGACACTGAGATCCTGTGAAGTGCGTCTCTGCTTTTGCTTGGTGTAAACAATGAGTCTTGCAGCTCTTACTTATTAATGGAGACTTTACAATGTGTATTATAAGCTCTAACACCTCTTGTTCCCCGTAAGATCACTTCTTATAAACAGAGACTGCACATACATGTAAAGACAAACTTAGAGCTTCTAATTCCCACGCAGTAGATGATATGTATTAGTGATAATACATTGAGGTGTTTTAGCTCAGGAGTACCGAATGTACAGCTTTTCAGATTCCTATTGCTATCATTAATATGTAATTTTGCTGCCTGGAAAAATCAAGATGCATATGAAACTGGAAAATAGCTGATTTAAAATCAAACCTTGTACATGTTGTTTTTGACATGTGTAAGAGTGAAAAGCAATGGACATTCTTCATGGGTTCAGTGGGTTTCATGGTTTTCAGTGGCTTATCTTCACAGAAGTCACTGTGCATGGATCATAAAAAAATCTGTGCATTTAAAAAAGATAGGGATATTAAAAGTACGTTCAGATTGCCATATAAAACCAAACTGTTCCACTGCAGGAAGTGATGCTTAACCCCATTAAGAAATTTGCAGCAGTGCTGGTAGAAAAAAAATGTCCTTTAAACATTAAAAGTGTTTCAAAGCAGACTTCCAAGTGGGCAGGGGGTTATATACACCATTATACTATATGTAGTTTGAGCAGAGCAATCATGGGAAGACTGACAAATGTTTGGATATGGAATTTGTTTCATTTCAGAATTCAGGGGTGTTTTGTATGTAGTATTTGCCTCAGAGCTGATAGTGTTTCTTCCAGGCTGTCCACAATTTACTGACTTGTTGCAGTAAATGAGGAAAAAGCCTACACATTCCCCCCCATGCTGGTCCAAAGGAGATACTGTAAGTGATTTATAAATGTTTATCTAACTCAGTGAACTTTTCTAATCACTTCAAAAAGGATGAGCCATGTAGCTTTGTCATGGTACTCTAAATTTCTTACAGACATTAAGATAGAACCAAACTGAGTTGCTCGAAGAAACAGAGCAGATTGGTAGAGAGAAAGATGGAGAGTCTTGGAGATTGTGGCTTCCAGTCCTGTGTGGAATTACAGAGTTATTAAAGTTGGAAAAGACCTCTAAGATCATCTAGCCCAACTGTTCACCTACCACCAATATTGCCCACTTACCACATCCCTCAGTGCTACGTCCACATGGTTCCTGAACACCTCCATGGACAGTGACCCCCACCACCTCCCTGGGCAGCCTGTGCCACTGCCTCACACCGCTCTTGATGAGAAGTTTTTCCTAATACCCAACCTGGATCTCTCATGGCAACTTGAGCTCAGGATTGCACTCTTTTGCCTTGAAATAGGTGGTGAACAGAAAGAGGAGGAACCAAAGCAAAGATGGGGACAAAACATGCTGGAGGAAAGAACTGAGATGATTGAAAAGAAACCCAAAGATAATGCAGAGACAGCCTGAAGAAGGAGGCAATACGTAGTACAGTCCATCAGGAAAGGTAAATGAGCATCAATGATCCAGAACCGTGCTTCTCCAAAACCCTTCTACTCCTTAATTTCTTGATTATGGTTCACAAATTAGAAAGTGA